ACAGTCACCAGATCTCAGTCCAGCAGGGTACCTTTGGATTGTGGTGGAACAGGAAATTCGCATCATGGACGTGTAGCCAACCAATCTGCAGCAACTGTGCGATACAATCATGTCAACGTGTGAGAAAAAAAAATCTCTGAGGAATATTTTTAAGCACCTTGTAGAATCTCTGATATGCAATGTTAATGGAGTCTAACCAGGCACTGGCAAGGCATAGTCCCAAGAAAAGCCCTTTAAACTTTAATGAAACGTTCCGCTCTACGTTTGGAGAAGGTTAGAAAACTGAGCAAATAATAGAGAATGGCTCTTCATGCTGAGACACAAAGACTTTCTCTGGTTTGTACCAGCACACTCACACCACATTCACTCAAAGTGAGCAAATAAGCTCACCAGCTCAGATTAGAGCTCATACTCTTCACACCTCCGTCCTCTCCTGCCTTGAATTTTCACTGCCAACCTTTCAAATCAAGTGTCTCTCTCACTTGTGAAAGAATGAAAAGCAGTAGCTGGTGACAAGGGCAGTCTGTGCTGCCATCCCCTCCACATGCATGCTTCTGCTTCTTCAGAATATGAGACAGCCTGGTTTCTGATAACTGCAAAAAATGTGCTAACCGACAGACGGGAGTCTGGGCTGTGCAAATGAAAAGTCCGGCCCTTTTCGTCTGTAGTTCGGATACACAGAAACACATTAAAATTCCAGGATGGATGCAAAAGAGACGCTTTAATAGAAGAGATGATAAAGAGCTTCAATTTAGAATAGAGTCATTAAAAAGCATGATTAAAGTCATTTAACAACGTCACGTTAAACAAGGTTTGGCAATTCTGTTGACTAAAGAAGGCATCATGGTAGACTCGCTGTTCTTGATGATGATGCTGACCGCCAGATGCAAAATCTAATTTTATTAAGATCAATGAGTATCTCAGTGTCCGTGCTACATTAGTCATTATTTCATATTAAGCATTCGGTATCATCTTACAGCAAAAAGTGGAAACACGTGGGATGCATCGCACAATGGAGCCTCAAAACACAAAGCTTAAAGAGAGCAATTTCCTCGCTGCTCATTGTGTGCGCCCGTGGCTGTGGCACTTATGTAAGCATGTCTCCGGGGTTTTAAAACATTACGAAGACAGCTGCGAGGGAAGAGACACGGGGCATTTCTTCCAATAATGAACTTTTCAGGGGCAGGATGTGCTCTCGGTGTGGCTGGTGGGAGGATGCAATCTCCTGCACAATGCTCGGTCCATTAGCACCAAAATGCAGTGCGAGCCGAGAGCTGAGAGCTCTCTCTCTGCTCGGCACAGGAAAAGAGGACGTGGACGCTGCCTCGCTAATAGCACGTTAAAAAATTTAAATATTGTCAAGTCCATTAGCTGGAGGCCAATTAACAGGGCAGCATGCAGAGATAACAGATAACAGATCGGCTTCTCCAATGTTCACTCAGTCTGGGTTAAATGTAATTAAATAAAAGGCTTCTTTCTTTTGGGGTGCAGAGTCAGTGCTACTTATTTCATTTGGATCATGCATCCTGACATTACACAGGTCATGACCTGTCGCTGCAATTGGAACAAAAACAAATCCTCAACACAAAACAAGAGAAAGAAAAACAATAAAAACTTGATTCTCTGTATTTTCTATTGATCTCAGCCCGTGGCTACAGCAATATCCTCCAGAATTTCAGTGACGCAAAAGCTAACCGCTGTCAACACTTTCAAATTTCCTTTAAAAGGGAGAAAAATCAATTGCAGCTC